AACTTTCAGATTCAAACAGCAAAGGCGGCTCTTGTGTCTGATGTGATTGTATATGGAGAAAACCTTGCGGAAAGCAAGAAGGTAGCCTGGGAAGTTGCCGCGGCCCAGTTACTTCAAAGGCAATCACAAACGGCACAAGCGGGAAACTTCACCGAATATAACACCTTCGTTTGCACCAGTCCCTTCTCAGACTTTGAGGACGCTAATAGCGACATTGTTGCGATCGGCTCTGACGGTTGCGTGACTGGGAAGGTTCTCGATTTTGTTCAGCAGGAGCGAACCGAAATGTGGGACATGACCCAGGCGTCTGAAATATCTCACAACGTTTTCATGGGTCCCACCCCTGAAGCAGGCAGTCAAGAGGAGCAAATCTTTGATATATTAATTGAATGCAGCGATCTGGGCCACCTGGATCCTGGTGCCTTGCAACGCCTTGTCGAATCAACAGATGGGCCAGCTGGACGTTCGCATTTTGACTTCCCGTCGTCGGGTAGTATACTGCCACCAACATGGTCACACGATGAGGCTGACGGGATTATCGAAACGTGCAAGTGCATTTATTACCTATCGCATGGCATGCGGCTAAACAGTGGTGTTCACGACGAGAATACACCGACTGGCACAACCGGCTTGACCGCCGGGACCTTTGAACCACGGAAAGTTCTCATTCATTGCGCCGATGGATACACGGAATCTACCATGCTGGGAATTGCATACCTGAGTTACAGCACGGGACAACCGGTTTCAAATGCCTGGTTACAGCTCCATACTGCCAAGGGCCGAAACTTTTTTGCTTATCCTACTGATGTCGCTCTGCTGACTGCAATTGCTCCTCGATTGTTAAAAGAATCCCCCGCTTGTGTTGGATATAGCCTTGAGAAAATTACCAATCTATTGCGGGATGAGCCTAAGTGGCTGCCTGGTCTCGACGGCTCCTTTCCGAGCCGAATTCTGGACTATCTGTATTTGGGCAATCTTGGTCACGCAAACAATCCGGATCTTCTGGCAGAACTGGGTATAGGCCAAATTTTAAGTGTCGGCGAGACAGCATCTTGGAAAGATGGCGATCTGGAGAAATGGGGTTCAGACAATGTTTACGTTGTCCAAGGCGTTCAAGATAACGGCATCGATCCACTTACAGATGAGTTCCCGGGATGCCTTGAGTTCATAGGTGAGAAAAATTTTGATCTTCCCAGGTCTAGTCTTATTTCTCAATCAGACTACTGTCTTCGAGTTTTGCTAACACTGAATTCATAGACAGAGGACGACAACGAGGGACGGCAACTCTGGTGCACTGTCGGGTTGGGGTATCGCGTAGCGCCACCATCTGTATCGCTGAAGTAATGAGAGCCATGGGGATGTCATTTCCTCGTGCATATTGTTTTGTTCGAGCAAGGCGTCTCAATGTTATCATTCAGCCTCATCTGCGATTTGCGTATGAGTTATTACGTTGGGAAGAATGGCTGCAACAACAGGGCAACGACTCCGCGCCATTGAAGCGTGAGTTGGAATGGCAGGACATTGCGCGAGAAATCGCCCTCATGAATCGCCCTTACTCAAGGTGACACGAAAGCTCGTTGTTCGCTACTCATTCTAAAATCATAGGCACCTGTCTCTGAGAGGCAACAGATTTAAGGTCCACACCTAGCTCTCGCAACTGCACCTTGATTTGCATACCATCACGCCATGGGTAAGCGCAAGACAGTGCTAACACACGGGATGGCCTTCATTGTTGCATGTTTTGTTATCCATTCATTGGCTTGTTTGTTATTATTTCTTGATGAGCGTCTTGCCTGCGCCACATTGAACTTTCTACCTGCCGAACGCAGCCTGTTCTGTTCCAGGTGATATACTCTGCCTTTTTATTGTTGTTTACGGGCTGTTAAAGTAGGTTAAATCCAAGGCCCCTTGAGCATTTGGTTTTATTCAAACTTTTTGGAGCGTTGGATACTCGCATCCGTGGATATGATGACTTATGATGAAATGGACTTTCTCATATCGGGTTCCGCAATGTATTAAACAAGCCACCAAGAATTTATCTCTGGAATAGAGTTGGTCTCTTATTTACATGTTTGCGACGCGGTATCAACGCCTATTCTGAGGTGTATGTGAAATGAACATGACGCAGTTTTCCTGAATTTCCAAGATATGGCAAGATGAAGCGTATTGCGAATTCGCCCAACTTCGGTATTTAGTAATAATTTAGTTGTCTGCAGGCTGCAGATCCCGTTGAAAAATGCTTATCGGCTTGATGCAACGATGTCTTTGCATATCAACCCGGGACTGTTGCGTGTATGGTATTCGCTTCCTTGAAGCGTGAAGGCCGACTCATGGAGAACATCGTGTGCAAAATAACAACAGCAAGGAGCTAAGAGGGAGGATACGACCCATATGTTGGGACGTCATTTTTTTCGTCACCTTCAAGAACCCTGCGGGACAGTGTGAGTCTCGATTGTTAGCTCAGGTTTATGGCGCGAGATTCAAAAGACAGAACGCTTTTCAATCAACAAAATAAGCAAGGCTTTTGCGGAGCAGGGAAAGTCTTACGAAAATTGCTTCACCAGGTATCCTTCTCCGCCGTTTTCCATGTCGATATTGTAAACGTAGAAGCCGCCATCGCTGGTTACAACCATAACTTGGGGGCTACTACTACTCATCGCTACGACACTTCGCAATGGTCCAACAATGGAGCTGCCTGTTGCGCGCGGAGTCAGTCCCGAGACTCCGGATTTCGGTATTTTGATGAACGCAAAGTCTCGTAGCGGCTCCCACATTTCGGTGACAGTCTGGGGCAGATAAGATCCAACAACGCCAGCAACACCACGACCCATGATTTGTGATGATCGACGCAACATGTTACTAAATGACCCGCTCTGCCTTCGATGGCCCTGTTGACCTCCACTGGGAAATGCGTTCCCCGCGCCCGATTCTGCTGCATCGCTTCTGGGGGAATCTGTGGCGCTATTCCCTGGCGAGTCGCCATCATCGTAGCTCCTAGCTCGCGACCAACGATCCTGTCTTGGAGGACTGGGCGTTTCGATTGGCACGCCTCCAGGAGTCGTATGTCCAGGTGGTGTTCCCAACCGAAAGATGTGGACAGTATCGGAAGTAGAAGACACGCATAGAAGGGTTGAGCTGAGATTGAAAGACATGCTGTAAATGGTTGAAGGATAGGTTCCGCGTCGAAATTGATACAGTTTCTGGCCTCTTGGGATGGAGAAAACCCGAATGATTGTCCCGGTCTCACTCGCCGTGGCCAAGAGTGTGCCGTCGCTGTTCAAGCATATGCAAGACAAGGGTGAGCGATGGGCTTCGATGACATTTACCGCTTTGAGTGTTAATGTGTCAAATACGAGCACTTCGCCCGATGTTGGCGAGACGTATGTAGATTGTGGTGGTGCATGAGCTGGGCGGCGACTGTCTGAATCTTCCCTGGGTTTGGGGAGGGGATACGCAATGAAGCAGTTTTCCGACGAGGGAGACAGTGCGCATATTGCAGAGGGGTTCGGCGACGTTGTTATGGTGTGGAGGAGGCTCATGTTGCTAATGTCGTACAAATATATCTCCTCCTCCAATATGACGGCAAGACGCTTTCGATTTAGTCGGACGGCGAGAACAGCAGATGGAAACGTAAGCTCGCATATAACAGATGCTCTCTGTACCAGTGTAATTAGGAGTGTAAGCGAAAATATAACACCTTGAGTACGATCCAAGGCAGCCTACTTTTGTATTCTGAATTATAAGATGTCGTGGAGATAGTATGAGCGCGACAAGTGAGGTCGAAAACAGCATCTCGATAATAGCAATGTTTCCATCGTCGCTACTGAAGATTCGGGAGAAGGGATCAGTATGGTATATACGGAACCCCTTGGAGGTACCTGAAGAAACAAACGAGTTGAAGACGTGATATTAGTATATGATTTCGGTAGAGTAACCATGGCTATCGTGTCAATACTCACCAACAGCAAGACAGCTGTGGTCCTGGTTGAAGGTAATAAAATTGAGCGATGGGTTAGCCATTGTTACTGTCCTGGCAGCAGAAGCACAGAAACGTGCCCACTGCGTCCCAGCGGTTGTGACAGGTCCCGGTGGAATCGTGATTAAGTTGGGTTGTGGCAACGTGGAGTGATCAACGACGTCGAGGGGACGAGCTTCGACTGTGTCGAGGTTACGGGTAAATAGTCTGGGTTCAAGACAGCTCGGCAGCGATAGCCAAGTCACTCAGAAAAGGCCGTCTCGACAACGCCAGGCCGGCAGACACATATGTACTCGTTAGACCTGATCAGGTGATGGACAACCGACCTGCTGCGTTTGCAAGCGGGGAAGGCTTAGGTTGGCCGCGATGCTGGCTCTTTCAGGACTTATGTAGATTGGAGGTAATTCGACGTCCTGTGAAACGAGGACCGGCTGATGAGGAGCGGCGCAGATCTGATCTGGGCCTGGGATGCGTGGGGTTGCCTCGGTGGCTAGGGGGCTGTTTAGCTGCCTACTTAAGTACTTAAGTACTTACTTACAGAGGAACTAGTACGTCTGGTAGTACAAGTGCCAGGCATCTTAAAATGTGATCGTGGAGCTGTCGCATCACATGCCTATCCTATAGATTCAATGATGGCTAATTTCTGGGCCCCTGGGCAGCCAGTTACTTGGGATGGATATGAGCTTATTAAAGAACTACGCTGTACCTCTGGTCAACCTTCGCCCCTGTTGGTGTGGCTTGTGAGGTATCGTGCGATCGTTTGAGTAGCGATTCTTGCTATGGCCCTTGGAGTTCGCACACTCGAGTACTTACAGGTACCTACTAGGTACCTGTAGGCTAGTAGTAGCTGCACATGTGTGCGAAAACCCCCCACCCCCGCGAAAAAACTTTGTGCACATTTCATGTTCAATAACATGACAGTATGGGATCTTGGTATCAGCTCAACCCGCCACCGGTAACCCATCAGCAAGCTTCTCAGAGTGCACGGCGAATTACCGAGAGCATCTATGGTACGGAAGCAAAGATGGCAGCTGCTGCAAAGGCTCCGATGTCATACGGGCCACCAAAATCCCACGTCCTGGACGAATTAGTTATGGGAGTAAGTCTAGCCTATCCTTCCTCGCCCTGGAACAGGACAGAATCAAAGAGTGGCAATGCACTGTTGGCCCGAGTGAATATCGGGGCATGCAAGAGAACATAGTATCACGAGTAAAACTAGGCCCATTATCCTCTCCTCAAAGACTGACCTCAACAGCTTGATTCTCTAGACACCGAGGCTAATCCCTCGTAACATAGACAAATAGCAGCAGTATCGTCTCTAAGCGCAGCGTGGAGAAGCTGTATTTCCCCGAAGAACCACATTACTTCCGCTATTTCGTGAAAAAGTTTCAGAGACGTGCACCGCTCATCAATCGAGGATACTGGCTGAGACTCAGGGCCATTGATGTCGTGGTTAGACAGTTTCTATTCGAGAACCGAACCACCAAAAAAATTGTGATCAATCTCGGGTGTGGCAGGTGAGTACGGAACAAAGATAAACATACTTACAGTCTGGGGTGCTCAGATACTGAGCAAACTAACACGTCCCATGCTTAACAATCTAGCGACGTTCTCCCATGGCAATCACACGCTCGACATGCCTTGCTCTGCGACGATGTATTATTTGTGGATGTAGACTATCCTGACTTGATGCTCAAAAAGCGATCAATAGTGCTGGAAACACCCCAGCTGCGAGAAATTTTGGGTGAAAATTTTGTCGTTAGCCAATCGGATGAGGATCAGATTCTCCTTCGAAGTGATCGATATTGTCAAATCGGGTGTGATCTTCGAGAAATTTCAAGACTGAGACATTCGTTAGAGACGCTTTCTCCTTTAGCTGACTGCCATGTGCTATTTGTCGCAGAAGTATCCATCACCTATATGGACACAAAGTTTGCCGATGCTTTGATTCACTGGTCAAGTAGTGTTGGGAAAGGTGAGTTAAACACTATGGCCGATACAATGAGGTTGGACAAATGGCAACCAAACCAGCCAACATCCAATTGGAAACAGAATGCGCACAGAAAGCAATACTGGAACTGTCTGCTTACTTGAATCATAGCGGAATTCTGCCTTCTAGAGCAATTATTGCCCCATGGACCGGACCATCCGTTTGCGGCAACCATGCTCAGTCACTTTGACAAACTCAAGACACCACCAAAATCAGTGAGCAAATATCCAACCCTTGCCAAGCAAGTCAGTAGATTCACGGGCCTGGGCTACACAAATATCAATATTTGGGACCTGTGGGAAGCTTGGTCAAGCGCAAAATTCGTAAGCAGCTCTGAAAGATCGGCCTTAGACAACATAGAACCCTTTGACGAATGGGAGGAGTTCGTATTATTCGGACGACACTACTTTATTCTTCATGCTTCGGCCACGCATCAACAGGAGAAGATACCATTCTCACCAAAATACAATCACAAAGAGCCGTGTGAAAAAGAAAGCATATTTCCCGTTTCAATGGTCAAGCATGACGTACAAACATCGAAGAGGCGATTTGGCGACATACTCGCAATCACGGATCCCACTGGAGCCGCATATGCTGTTCATATAATGGGATTGGGAACAGCTGGCAGAGAAGAATCACACGATATCTACAGTCTCGATGGAAAAATGGATATGCCCATTGTTCCCATTACTGGACCGCCCCCGCGCATGTGCCACTCGATAACTGACTTGGGAGACTATGGCATGCTTTTGGTCGGTGGTCGCACTTCCCCGGCCAATACTTTATCGGACTGCTGGGTTCTTCATAAAGGGCCGTTGTGTAAATGGGTACCTACCTCAAGCCTTCCAATCCCATTGTTCAGACACGCAGCAATTCGCCTCCGCGGCAGTTCTCTGGCCCTTATCGTAGGTGGCAAAACGGGACCATCCACAATCTCGGAAGACTGCTATGTTTTCCATGCGACGAAAGGGTGGTCGAAATGTGCAATCTTGGGAGAAGCACCCGGACCTCTGTTTGGGGCGGTGCTGTGCAATTCACCTGCTCGCCTCGCATCCGGTGGCATATTTACCGGCCTGCTCGCTGGTGGGATCGGGCAAGATGGTTTGATAAGTTCAAAGAAGTATAGGTGGAAGCTCGATAATAATGACTCACAGGTAAAGGAAAAGGCGACCCTGTCCTGAAAAAGAGATTGTAGCTAACTATACTCTCGTCCAGCCAACCATTCGATTTACCAAGCATGAGGAGGAGTTCGATCAACTCGATGATCTTGCGGTTTTTGGAGCGAAAACAGTTAATCTAGAGTCACAAACATTGGTATGTGGAGGAGTAGGAGCGTGCTCCAGGTCACAAGGTCAAAGCATCCTTATGGTATACATGCCCGATAATGATGCGTATGCTGTGTCCAAGATGGGCACTTGCCCTGAGGGCAAGGCTCTGCCATTTATGGTCGGATCAGCCATAATGGAGGCCAAAGACAGCATTGTGATACTTGGCGGTGGAGCCACGTGCTTCTCAATGGGTACTTTTTGGGAAACTGGAGTCTTCCAACTCTCCTTCAAGGGCAAAGAAGATGGCGTGGGGAGTTGCGGATTCACAAGACATGAACCTCTGAAAGTACGCTTTTTGGCGTCGCAAAGGATTGTCAGTAGCACGAGGCAAACACTGCGGCAGGAGGCGAATTTGGAAAAGGCGACTGTTGCCACAATCCCTCGCGTTCGCCTGGAAACGCCAGCCCAGTTCGAAGACATTTTGCGGACCGGGCTGCCAGTTATTATCTCGAACGCCAACTTCGGTGGCTGTGTGCAGAAGTGGACACCTTCATATATGATAGACCGAATTGGGTACAATACCAAGGTGTGTGATTGTTTTGGCAAGCTTTTGGCCACGATATGTAGATGGAACTGACATCCCTAGGTTGTCGCACATGAATGCAAACATGATCATGAAAGAATGGACTTCAACTCAAAGAACTTCCGATACATTACTGAGCCTTTTGGCAAAGTCATGGAACGTGCCGAGGCCGGGGAAAGGATTTACTTACGCGCACTATCCCGAGACAAACCGTCAGAACGACCAGCTAATATCCAAGACGACTTTTCGGCATTAGCGGAGGATTTTTGCCTGCCAAGGGAGCTGGACTCGGCCAACCGGTGCCTATTCAGCTCTGTTCTTAGAGTATCGGGGCGTATAAATATGTGGCTACACTATGATGTATGTTTCCAAATATGTGCATCCACATGGTACACAGACATGCTAATCACTCTATTTTCTCGATTAGGTCATGGCCAACGTCTATGCCCAAGTGGCAGGATCAAAGCGCATGGTACTGTTCCCTCCTCGCGATGTAGAACACTTGCAATTTGCTCCCGGGGCATCTAGTTCAAGCCTCAACGTCTTTTCAGAGCTAGAAACGTCGCGGATGGCTGCGACACACCCGTACGAAGCAGTGCTTGCTCCGGGAGACATGTTATTTCTTCCCCCATGCTGGCCACACGCAGCTGCAACGATCACGGACTGGGGCATAGCTGTAAATGTCTTCTTTCGAGACTTGGAAAGCGGATACGCTATTGGCAGGGATGTGTATGGTAACCGAGACCTCGCTGCATATGAGAAGGGGCGGTTAGAAGTTGCCCGCGTGGGGAAAAGCTTTCAACATCTCCCATTAGAGACGCGTCGATTTTACCTGAAACGACTGGCAGAGGAACTAGAATCGACTGCTGAAGGGGTATAGATAAATGTTGTGTGCCCCATTGACCTTTGAAGTAGACCGAAGTAACAACGAGCCGACATGGGAAGTGCGTGGCAAAAAGGGGTTGATCAGATGACCTGCTCTCCTATACAAAGCGATATTCTATGCCACTATTGTACATCGTGAACCTTGGAGGTCATCAACAATGTGCAGCATGCCAATCCAACACATCTCACTTACTAAAGAATCCGGCATCAGCCTGTTCCCCAACAACGCCAGTAGTAGTTCGTGGGGTGACAAGCTCAAGTGGTCCAGTCCAGTTAAAGTTTGATGCGACCCCTCCCTCCCCCGCAATGTCTTGATCTGAACTACTACCAGCAAGTTGCGAGCTGAAACCTTTAAAATACGGTGCAGTGCCACCATCGCAGCTGTTGCCGAGCTGCTCAGTTTTGTCTCTTGGAGTTACAAATGGCGTCCAGCCCGAATTGACAATACCCGAGGCTGATGAGCACATGTCGTATCACCTGGAATGGACCTCCATAAGTAGAAGCGACACGGCCCCAGTACCCCAATTCAATTGATCCGAGACCAAGTTCATCCTCCTGGAGACAGCTCGCAGCGTTGAAGTCGATGGTCACCGTCACGAAGTGAAGCACAGCTTTAGCAATAACCCCTGTTCACGCGCCGCATACGAGTCAAACGAAAACCAATGCTTTGAATATCTACAGTCAGCGGCTTTCTCAACTTTGAAGCCCACCCGGATCACCAGTTCGTTTCCACCGCCGCTGCCACGTAACTTCACATTCAACTCGGGGCAGCCCTAGAGCTTGCGTTGTAATATTGATTCGACCACCACCTCCTTGGCCGGAATAGGCACTCTCAATTATGTCATCTGCTGCTAGTCGTGCCATTAGGCGGCTCATTGTTCCCGGCGTATTTGTAGCTGGTGGAGGAGCCCTGATATACAGCTACAGACCTCGAAATATTCCGGGCTCCTCCTCTGCCGCTGTTCCGCCGCCTACTTACGGCCCAGATGGATCCTTTACCATGCCACGATTCCCGAGCATCAAGCCACGACGTGAACAATTGGCGGACTTGCATCGAAGTGCCGAACCGGATTCTGGGAACGAATACGATATGCTGATTATTGGAGGAGGAGCTACAGGTGCCGGCGTAGCGCTTGATGCTGCAACTCGCGGCATGAGAGTGGCCCTCGTCGAACGAGATGATTTCAGCAGTGGGACCAGTAGCAAGAGTACCAAACTTGTCCATGGAGGTGTTCGCTACCTCGAAAAAGCAGTGTGGAATCTTGACTATAACCAGTATCAACTTGTCAGGGAAGCACTCAAAGAAAGGAAGTATTTCTTGCAAACCGCTCCGCACCTGAGCATGTGGCTACCCATTATGCTGCCTCTTGATAAGTGGTGGAAAGCGCCTTACTATTGGGCGGGCACCAAGTTTTACGACTTCTTGGCCGGCAGCGAAGGAATTGAAAGCTCCTATTTCTTGACTCGTAGCAAAGCTCTCGAGGCCTTCCCTATGCTGAAGCAGACGAATTTGGTTGGGGCACTAGTCTATTACGATGGAGCACATAACGACTCGCGGATGAATGTTTCAATTGCCATAACTGCAGCTCTCTATGGCGCGACGGTTGCCAACCATGCTCAAGTCACCGGCCTCATCAAAGATGATCATGGACGTCTTTGCGGAGCGGAGGTTAAGGATCTCATCGCCGCTCAAGACGGCGCACCGGTGCAAGAGTTTACAGTGCGAGCGAAGTGCATAGTCAATTGTACCGGCCCATTCACCGACTCGATAAGAAAGATGGATGACCAAGGGTGCAAGGAAATTGTTTCCCCCTCATCTGGCGTACACGTCATTCTTCCCGGCTACTACAGCCCTGGAAAAATGGGACTTCTTGATCCTTCGACATCCGATGGCCGTGTTATCTTCTTTCTCCCATGGCAAGGGAATACCATCGCAGGTACTACTGATTCACCAGCTCCAATTTCATCCACTCCGCTACCGGATGAGGAGTCTATCAAGTGGATACTTGGAGAAATCAGCCAGTATCTGTCTCCGGAGATTAATGTGCGCCGAGGGGATGTGTTGGCGGCCTGGTCTGGAATCCGGCCGTTGGTCAAAGATCCAAAGGCCAAGAACACAGAGTCTCTGGTACGCAACCATCTTGTTGACATATCCCCGTCCGGTCTCTTGACTTGTGCTGGTGGGAAGTGGACTACTTATCGCCAAATGGCAGAGGACTGTGTCGACGCTGCCATTAAAGAGTTTCAACTTAGTCCTAGTCCTGTCATCAACGCACCACGCATCAGTGGCACTGAAGTGATCGACGATGGTGCTATTTTGGATGGCTCCTGTCAGACTCACAAGGTTCGCTTAATAGGCGCCCATGGTTTTAGCAAAACACTTTTCATACCAATTATTCAGCATTTTGGCGTTGAGACGGAGGTAGCCAAGCATTTGACAGAAAGCTATGGGGATCGGGCCTGGATTGTTGCGGGACTGTGTAGGCTGACTGGCCAGAGATTCCCGGCTCGAGGAGAGCGTCTATCACGCTTGTATCCATTTGTTGACGGTGAGGTTCGTTATGCAGTAAGGCATGAATTTGCCCAGACAGCTGTTGACGTTTTGGCACGCCGAACCCGGCTTGCTTTCTTGAATGCGCAGGCAGCTCTGGAGGCGCTCCCTGGCGTAATTGATATCATGACCGAGGAGCTTGGCTGGGATTGTCAGCGCCAAGATCTTGAATGGAAAGATAGTAAGCATGTTCCCCTCCTCTCCCTGTCCCTTGATCGGATGCGTGGCCCCGTCGGCACTGCAGTCCGTAAAATGACCAAAATTTTGAAAGAGCAGGGCAGAAAGACCCTGCCTATACACGATAACCACACCTCCTTCAGAAGCGATGCGGTTTGCGCTAACCAAACAATCGTAGCTGTGACTTTTTTGAGATCCATGGGCCTGCCGCAACCAATGCTCTCGGCTTCAAGGAGGCAGGTAGAGAAACGTGAGCTAGATTTTGAAAATTCACTTGAGTGGAACATGTATTCTCGGCACGATAAGCCCGTTGATGATTGACTCGTTAACGGAAACACGCAATGGTTGGATTGCCGGAATGCTCTGGCCAGGTGCAGATAATCTTTTTTTCTTTCGTTCTTGAACGATTTCTAAGACTCGGGCGCTGAAGGTTGAAGTGAAACTTCAGACGCAAATGTAAATAACAGGCGCAACCATAGCGATGGAGTGACAATCCCGGGTGGAATATGCCAGCGCTCGCAATACCAGGCCGACTACGAGAATTTGATCTTGATCTGTCGCGGAGTTTTAGTATGGCATGAGAAAGACGCATCCGCAGTTTTACTTACTGCAGATGAGACTGAACTTTAAGCGAAGTGGAGGGACCTCTACAGGCCTTTCCTGGAAACTCTTATATTTTTTCTCACCTAGGCGCTTTGATCTTGTGTAGTCATGTTGTGTGTAATATTCCGGGTGCAACCTAGACGGGTACATGCTTACAGGAAGGGGGTTGGCTCTGATTGAGACCATGTACTTCGGCTCTTTGGCGTGTTGTGCTCCGCGTTTTACATCTACACACACAACAGGCTGGACGCAGTGTATTTGCGTGGAGCAGGCATAAATCGTCTCTCCCAAGAGCTTGTATCCCATGTGTGCACACCGTTGAAATCTTCCACTTACCTCCAAGTTTGCCACGGCCACGACAGCATCAACAAGGTACAAATATCACGGGTGCTCAGAAAGCAATATGAGGCGCACCACAAAACGCGTCAAAAACGCGGTTGCTTGCGTCCAATCTCAGATGAAAGTCTATTTTCGCTCCCACCTTCTTATTCATGTTCAAAAGCACAAGGGGACAAGAACAAAAGGCTCAAAGACTGTGGGGTGCGACATGGGCCGAGTCGCCAGGCCACGGTAGTACAAATTGCCCGCCAGCAAACAGTATGGGCCTCACTACCGGGGTTCAAGAGGCAGAGGGCATTTGAAAAGACAGAAACGCGGTATATTAAAAGGTAGGAACGAATATCCCTAAACGATAGTTGGGCTGCAAGTGGAATAACATCTATACACTGACACCCAGGGAGGATATCTAGGCATCTTCTGACAGAGCAGTGTAGACTTTGCAATGCTTTGATGATGTGCCTGATGGTACGAGAGGATGGTATCCAGGAATTTCAAATGAACGTGGCCTAAAATTATGGTAACTCGATTCGAGTGATGTTCCCATGTGTTGCGAGATTGCGTGCAAGCCATAGGCCAGTTCTCGTGAATAAGCTTGTGGGCGGGAGAGATTTGATGGATTATGTATAGCCTTTCTTCGCCCCAAGGGAAGTAAGTAGAGATGGCTCGAGGATAATGTGACCTACGATCAACGCGCTCCCATCTGACATGACGACGACGAGTTAGAGTCGACTCACTCACTACACCTGCCAGCATGATATCGGATTGCAAGCCAGGACATCTGGGAAGGTTGTTCATTCCTGGGTGCCATGACTTTCAAGCAACAAGAATTTACACGGCAAATTTAGAACATCCATGAATCATCGTGTATCATTATCTCTTATAGTAAACGACAACTCACCCTGGTAACAATAAAACAATCAAGAATTCCCCAGTGTGTACACTACCCCAAGTTAAACTCCGTGGTATACTATGCCTCTCTATGATGCTTAAATCTCCGTATATGTAACTCCGTTGTTATGATGAAACGCTAACGCTAATGATGATTGACGTCGTCCTTCGATCCAGGACCTAGTTGGTCCCTGCTCGAGTCAAAACCGAAACTCCCGGCTCCAATACATTGCTGTGATGTGTACACGAAAAGAAAAGAAAAATCAAAGCATCCATACATATGGATAGGAAGTTGAATCCGTTGCTCAGGTTCTCGTGACATTCCCTTGACTTAACATTGAATGCATTGACAAGGTAATCGACCAAGAGCATTCGGAATTGTTGTTAAAACAGTGGCGGCCAGCAATTTCGTTTGTATGAGTTTTCATCAAGGCAAC